AAATCAGCAGTCATGATTTTTAATGATAGTAAAGGTGGTGAGCTTAGGATACATAAGGTCACGCTAGAGATAACAGATAAATACAAATATCTGGGCGTATAGATAAGCAATGGGACCGAGTACCTAAGGGAACACGAAATATACGTAACGACTGAAGGTAACAGCAATGCAGCAGTGATGAAAAATAGGGCACTGTGGAATTACAATAGGTATGATGTTGTGAGAGGAATATGGAAAGGGGTCATGGTTCCTGGGCTGACATTCGGCAATGCGGTCTTGTGCATGAGATGAGAAGTTCAAGCAAGATTAGAAATTAAGCAACGTGGAATAGGTAGGCTTGCTTTAGAGCTCACGGGACTACACCAAATCAGGGAGTACAAGGTGATATGGAATGGACATCATTTCAGGGTAGGGAAGCTAGCAGCAAGATAAAATTTCAGAAGTGATTGAGAGAAATGGGGGAGGAGCATTGGGCTAGAAAGGTTTTCAGCTACTTGCACATGAAGAATTTCGATACAAAATGGAGAAAGCAAACCAGAAAATTGATGGGTAAATACTTAGAAAACAGCAGGTGGCCAAACCGAAAAGAACTATTGGTGAAGAAGAAAGTGAAGAAAACGGAGACTGACACGTGGAGAATTGGCATGAATAACAAGTCCGCACTAGAGATCAATCGAACCTTTAAGCAGGAAATTGCCAAGGAAAAGATCTATCATAACACTCGGGGTAGTTCTCTACTGTTTGAGGCCAGTACGAAGTATTGCGAACTAAGACTTATCGGGCCAAATACGAAGGGTTAGACACTTGACACAGTATGCAGTGCGTGTGGAGAGGAAGAGGAAAACTGCCAAACACTTGATAATGTTCTGTTAAGGGCTTCACCCTATAGTTCAGAATGATGGTGCAGAGTTTTTCAAAGCACTGGGGTTTAGAGACAGGGAAGACAAAATAGACATTAAGCGGGTAGAATTAACTAGCAGGAGGTTATCTGATTGGTGGCTAAAGTCAAGGCACAAGTGAAAATTAAACCATTCACTGCAAAGTACCAGTCTTCAACTTCACTACTTGAAGGAAAAAAAAGATAAATCTAGTTGTTGGTTCACTAAGTATTACGGCTAGTCGGCGTTAGCCGCCGCCCGATCTAAAAGGTACAGCCACATCAATCAATCCATCCATCCATCCACTCCGATGCGTGCTCTCCTGTGACAGGAGACCGCGTTCGCTGTTGCTTTAAAATCTGTTCGCTCTTGGTGCACTTTCTCTTTTCCCCAGCAGTCTGTGTGCTTCAAGTATGAGCGACGAAGACAAGGCGGCGGAGGGTTCGGAAAATGGCTGTAGCGCATGCTTGTGGTCTTTATATGATGATCGATTGGGCGAAATTTTCGGAAGATTTGGGTACCAATAAAACTTCTATAGCTTTGCCCACTCATTATCATTCACCCCGTAGATATTCTGTAATTATTTGCGTGACCCACTTCTACGACGACCAGTCGCTCAACACGGTGCTCAAGCCCAGCATATAATACTGTAATACTGCGACGAAGGGTAAGTGTTATCTGCGGATGATAAGTCATTGTTTTGTTAATTACACACCGATTCACGATGCTGTTACACAGGTGAACTTGTGGTGAATGCCAACCAGCATGCACAGACGAAAATGTGTGTTGCCGCGAGGTCCTTGCTGCTCGGGCCTTACTGAATGGAATGGGTGTGGACAGCAACTGCATCACACACAACACGCTTTTCCTGCAATTTTTTGGACGGCAATTTACTAGGAAGCAACGGAGAGCGACTCTACCTTTTATAATCCAACTTGACTCGAGCACGCCGATAGAAATAGGTAATTAATTAAAATTATTACTTGAATATGCGGCACGATAATAAGACTGGGCAACAAGGCGTGCTTCCAGCGGCTTCTGGCCTACCCGACTGCCGAGCTCTAACGCATTTTGCGCACCGCATATGCCTTCTCTTAGCACTCGGCTCTTCCGTGAGAACGCATGTACTGAAATGGCGACGGTGGCACGGCTAGTAGTCAAACACTTTGATGTGCCGCACATTATATTTCCATAAATTAAACTGACAATCAAATATGTCATTATGATCACGTAAATGAGGTCTCCACCGCATTTCGATTTAGCTTGATCTTTCCACGCAGAATTCCAGATAGTGTTTCATCTGCCAGTGTCAATAAGTTACGCGCAGCCCCTTTCACTCTTTATGCGCCAACAAATACACGACCAACATTGGCGTGCGCACGAGAGGCCATCCCTTCCCCCTCTAGTCACCTAAAAAGGGGGGGTCAAAATGTTAGCCCTATAGAGTGACATAGTACGGAGGTGGATGCAGCGACTCTGGGAAGTGGGGGCTCTAAGTTAGCCCCCTACAATGCCATAACAGGGAGTGGGGGTGCACCGCGATAAACTTTCTCCTCATGACCCCATCATTCCCATCGCTAAATTACGAGCTGTCTTGCTGGGTGTAGGTGAGTAGTGCAGATGATTGATAAAAAAATGCAGGCCTGTTTGTCCAATAAAATAGTCTAGTCAGTGAATCCTTATTAAACTGGTGAGTATGCCACACTTGACATCATGTCTTTGTCAACTTCTAAATATCACTTTCCTTTGCGTTTGAAACACTTTGTTGTCTGAATACTGCAAAAGCATTCAATTTTTCTTGAAGGTTAAGGCATATCTTAATGTTTTTTTTTACTTCAGTAAAGAAACACACACACACAGTTATCCAGAGTATTTGTTCAATGAGAAAAAAAGCTTGACAGGGTGCCGGCACCCAGTGGAAAATGGAAAACATGATAGCACAAAATGAATTGCACAATTGGAAAACTGCAGTCTGAATAGATGCCATCTCCAACAAAAAAGGTTTCACACACGGCCCGCTAATGCCTCGCTTGCGGCCTGCACCATATGTATTTCCCAATTTCTTTAGGGGCAAAGCTCCTCATAGCAGCACCCGTTCGTCCCTCGTAGCCGTTGTAGTAGTGTGTAACGAGTATAACATTTTGACCTCCAAGGCGGTGCCGGTGAGAGATTTCTTCTGTACGTTGTTGAACAATAAAAGATAGTGCTCAATGTACATGCCAATGGCTGCTAAGGGGAAATGAGAGACAGAAGAATTTGGCTTTTAGTTAACGCGCACGCTGCGAATTTTTTATTGTTCAACAACACACAGAAGACAAGAAAGGTAGCTACGTTATACTCGCTGGGCATAGCCTCCTAGGTTTTGGAAAGGTTTAGCGAGCGTTAGGCCACAGTGCCATGAATACAGTGAACTAGTATATACCATGAACTCGAGGTGGTTAAAGGTGGGAAGTAGACAGGAAGCGCAAGCCGTAAGAAAGTGTGCGTGTGCCTCCTCTCGTTCAGTCCTTGGAATGTCCGCTGGATGGCGGTGTTTCTATATGAGGAATATATGATGAAAAGATGCGAGATAGTGGTACTTGGAGTGTTAAATAGGTGGACGAACGGACACACAGACAGATGCATGAACGGACGCACGGATGGCTGAACGGACAGATGGACGGACTCAGGAGCAGATGCATGGACGAAAGCAGGGACAGACGCACAGATGAACGTGCGGACGCACGAACAGATGCACGCACGGACGGGCGAATGGACGCACGGGCGGCCACACAGACACACGCATGGATGGACGGAAGCAAGAACGAATAGACGGACGGATGCTTCGCCCCACTATCTATCATTCACTCTGTGGATATGCTGCCATTTTTTAATAAGTATGCTTGTGGGCTATATGGGCATTGCTGGTCTAAAGCAGTGTGTTCATGAGCCACCCCATGTGGTCACTATTTGAGCATACCCGTGAAAAACAACTTATTTCAGACTTGGCATTCAGATTTCAGTCATTTAGGAGATCGTTGTCGACATGTTGGTATCTTGGCACCAAATTTTCAGACATGAGGTTTTCTTTCCAATAATGTTTGCTCACAATGTGTGGAAGCTAGCAGCAGCCGCCCCCCTCTCCTGCTCTTACCTTCTTCCTGGCCTTCGCAGGACTAAATAGCGAAACTGCAGCCCACTGCTTGAGATGAGTTTGAGAACCTGTCCTAAAATATTGGCTCAGTACTGCTGCAACATGGCAACTCTGTTGCTTACACACCAGCAGCTCTCTCAATTGCACAGCAGTAGTACGCACCAATAGAAAAAGCTTCGAGTCGGCTTGTTACCATGGGAAAAGATACCGTCCACAAAGATACCGTCCTCTGCGATCTCTCGTAGTCAGTTCATGAGCCACTAATTAGTATCCAGAACAACTAAAGCAAGCTGTCGCCATGTGCCTAGCAACTTTTTTGACATCGCTATCACTTGTCTAGCAGAGACCAGTAAATGACAGCAGCAGTTACATTGTTGCATGTCCCAGACTCGCCTAGTCGGATGCAAACAGTGGTACACGATCAAGAACTTTTGGTAAAACTTCTATTCATGAAACTCCATGAAAACTTTAAGCAGTTTCAGAGTCAACCATGCCGAATCCCACACTGAAACTCTTGGCTTTGCTGGCGTGTCTTCATTATGTTGTAAAGCTGAACCTTGCAATATTAGTGATGGCAGTGGAAGGGCTTCACTATTCCAACAATCGGGAACCACGCCTCCACTAGTTGCTGCTTTTATTTTTCTGGATATGGGCTAACCAGCCTGCGCAAGTTGGAGCAGCATGGTTGTTGCAGGGGAGAGAAGGTAGTGCACCAACGATGATATACAGAATGTCTGTCAAGGCCTTCACTCATTTGCTGTGAAGCAGCCGACGATGTCCCATGGCCAATCACCAAACTGGGCAAAGAACTTTAATGATTTGACCACATGGTCCTATGTCATGGTACTTGCGTCAGCGATAGTTGTGGTCAGCTTCTACACAGTTGTAGCAGAAGGGGCTGTAGTAAGGAGTGGCAATGAATGGATCAGGCAGTGCAGAAGTAAATCACCCCTAGCACACCAAACAACACACACTAGAAGACAGAGATCCAAACATGGCAGTAGGATCGCAGATCAACTATTGATTTATGTCTGAAGCGTTAATATCGCCCCTTCTTTGCATCTTCCATCGATGGCTTTGGACCATACTTTGCCGAGAGCGTGTCATGATGGCTTTGCACAACTGCATTTTCAGTAGCTGAAAATGACGGCCATTTCTCAGGGCATTGCACGACATTGCTCAGCAGTGGAGGCGCATAATCTGAAATAAAAAACCTGTTGTGAATACATGTAGAAAATTGTTACCGTATCACTACTACTTATTTGGAAGAACTTTTACATTGTTGGATAGCCTTGATGTCCTGTCTTTCAGTGCACAGTACTACAGAATTGTTTCATTGAAACTGCCATTCCTGTGCTATAGCTTTGTCTTTTTCTTTTCAGCTTCAAGGCATGTCCAAGAAAGCTGTTGCAGGAGGAGCTGAAGTGTTCACCTTTACAAACTTGAAGCAATATTTGGGCAGTGTTAATAAAAGTTGACGTACTAGCAGTTGTATAACACAGCGCTCTGGTTGCTATGACTGCAAGACAATGTTCGACCCTTCAAGGTCTGTTGTTGGACATTGCCAAACAATGCAGCATGGCCCCAGTGGTTTGCTCTCTGGCACTACTAGACAAGCACTTTCGTTTCAAACTTACCAAACTTTCTGCAATATTTGCGCATGAACCGAGGTGGGGTAAGCACAAAATTAACCGTAAACAGAAATTGAATTGGTGGCGCAAATGCTTGGTCAGAGACAAGGAACACTGGATGTGGACAAGTGCACTCCAGATCCTGTCACACTGATAGTGTGCTTGTCCGCATCCTGTGTTCCTCGGCCCTGTCCGAGCATTTGAGCTATCGATTCATCTTCAGCCATGTATCAACCAGCCTGACAGAAAATGCTACTAAAATTTGACGGAAGCATTCCTGTCCCAGCAGCTTTCAGTATAACACTACAAAAGAAGCTGCTGACTTACTGAGTGTTGAGCTTTTAAAGATCCGCTAAACCACCTTTATTATTTTTTCAGAAATTTTTAGTAGATATGCACATTGCACTCAGAATGCTATCGCGATAAACGATGCCACACGTGGCAGCACTATGAGTCACGGGTGCACCACAAATCACTCGAAACAATGCCACCTCCTCTCGGGCCTTTATGGCCTCCGTGTGTTGTTGAGAAGTAGAATCTTTGATGCATAGTGCAAATCATGCTGCGATTGGTCGAGCAAGAGCCTACAACTTTTGATTAGACCGCAAGCAGCTGTCTGTGCTTCTTGTTGTTCGTCGTATTGCCTGCATGTGCCACATCCCTGCAGCACATGTTCTCCCTAGCCACGCACAGACTGCACGTGCACCTGTGTGCCACGTGCAATTGCGAGGCGCGCTGTGTGAGGGAAAAGGGGCTTTGGGAGAGGATACCAGCAGAGGATGGCGAAGGAAGCATTTCAATAATCGAACGAGTCAAACTTTGCTATTCCTGATAATCGAACTCTGCTATTACGACATTCCTTTTAAAAAATTTGCTTGGCTCAGTGTTCCTTGTACACTGGCACACAACTTCCCCACCACAACTGAATTTTGACCTCTGGGTCGTTTAGGAGCCCTTTAAGCACGATGACAGGACATAAAAATGCACTCTCGAAAAATCGAGAAGCTCCCACTGCAATTGCTAACCTAAAAGAGCCAAAAAATGCCAGCTATCCAAATAAATGGTGGAAGCAGATAACCAAACTAATGTGTTTTAACCTGGGCTCTTTTGTCACTCATCGCTACGGCTCACGTAAGTTTCAAAATGGTTAAATTATCCATATGTTCGTGTGTCTGTGCATACGTGAGCACTGCATGAATGAATAGCAGATGACTGCGAAGGCAGTCAGCAGTGCAGAGGGGAGTACGTTGTATGTGATCCAATGTTTACCACTAAGCCCTGCAGTAGCTAGTATTCACATTTCTTGTGAATGGGAGCAAGTGGTGTATGCTTCATGTACCTCACTCTCATCAATGTCAATTGCATTCTGCTGTGGCAAGGCCTAGCACAGTGGCCAAATGGTAGTAGTGATTCGAAACTGAAGTGCCACCTCCCATACATAGTAAAAAAAAATTGCCTATGTGGCTAATCAAAGTGGACCATTGGACCAATAGATGTTTCTTGCAATGTCAGACACGAGTCCCAGTTTGTCCAATGTGACACGAATGTAGTATACAGAATTCCACCATCATGTGGTACGTGTTACATCAGGCAGACTGGGAGCTTAATAGTACGTTATGTTGGGCTAGTTGGTACATATTAGGCTGAAATACGTGGCGCAAGGTTGACCAAGAGAAAAAAAGACGAGACAGAAAGAGCGTCATTTCTGTCTCGTCTTTTTTTCTCTTGGTCAACCTTGCGCCACGTATTTCAGCAGACTGGTAGATGCCTCAATAAGCGCCTACGTGAGCACACACACAATGCACGCAATAGCAGTGAGAGTTTCTTGGCTCAGCATGTCAGCAGGAGTGGTCGTCATATGCAGTTCGAAAATACAGCTGTACTGCATAAGCACAAAAAAGATCGTACCTTGATGATCATTGAAGCAGAAAAAATGGCCCGGCAACACTGACAACTGCTCGAACAAACTACCGATTGCTCTCCTAGATAAAGGGCTTCAGTATCAGGCAAATATGACACATGTGGCTAATGAATCTACTATTCTACCTCGTGATTCAGGTGTACATGCTGTTTGTTAAAATGCTAATCTTTTTCCTTTTTCTGCTTGTCATATATATATATGTAGGACATGATGAATAAACCTTCATTTGATAGTCTGCCCTTGTCGTTGCCTACTTAACGTCCATGTTTTCTACCGCGCAGTATAAATCAATCGTGCATATGTGGGCTTAAGCAGTACTGCTCACCACACGTTGCTCTGTTTCACTGGAGCCGCAGTCCATTTTTTTCACCCTGGGGGGAATCTCTGCAAAAGTCTTTCCACACTTGCGGAGTCTGTCAGTGTTCTTCTACAGCCGACTTCATTAAAATGCAGAGCTTCAACTCGTGTTCTGCAATAAATAGAATTATGAAACAGGAACGGTGCTGCTTTTCCTTTTTTCTGCAAATAAAACTGTGAGAAAAGAAGAGGAAGTTGAGAATGCCAAGGAGAAGATGGCTCCGTGTCTGATTTCTAGCCTTGGCACATAGTTTCCTTACAATGTCAATTTCAATTCACTAATAGCTAACGGAATGAAATTTAAAACCATGGGTGACACAATGTCACATTACAAATGCAGCTTGGCTATAGAAAGTTGACATCAAATTACATAGCATCTACTCTGCATGATGAAAAAGTCTTGGTTTTCTCTAGTGATCCTTGTTTCTTGCCACACAGTGCCACTGTTTATTCACTAACACTCCAATGTAATCGCTCAAGAGCAGCTGCCTGTTTCAAGGGTTATTTCAAACCTTATGCACTAAACCAACAGTGCTAATCAAAAACTATCTGGCATCAACATTAAGAGCAATGACAAACTGCTTCTTTCTATTTACCTCATTCAAATTGCTACCACACACTCGAATAAGCCCCCCAATTCACACCAGAAAGCATTCGCATAACATGTGCTTCTGAACATCATAGACAATGTTGGACAATGTGTGTTTCAGGGGCATTTGCTCCCACCAGTTATAAGCCACAAATGCCTATTTGAGTAGCAAGTGTCTTGTGGGAAAGGAACCATGAGAAAAGGCAAGGAGAAGTGTCTTCAGAATGTGCAGTCCTACTGCATATGCAAATCAACAATAAAGCAACGCTAATTTGTTTTCCATGCGTAGTAGCTCTTGCTCGCGGCTGCGTCCGCCCCTCAGCGACCATCTGCTCCCCTACTGTGCCTGCGCCAATCCTCCCCCATCTCCTCGCATTAGCGCGAGGAGGTGGAAGAACCCTCTCGTCGCAGGAGTGAAAAAAGGTGGCCGAGCGCTGCCTTCACTTCGTTCCTTCTCTCCCATTTATCTCTCTGCCACAGCTGTGCGCTCGTATATGATGCTGCGTGCATGCGCTTCGTTGCACTCTTCTGGCAGTGCAGGGTGTTCACTTTGCAGCACACACACAGTAATACACACAAATGGGAGACGAGTAACGAAAACGGTACACAACATATACACGATTCCACACACAAATGAAACATACAAGGACACATACAACTGGAAACAGAAATGAACACTACTGCTGTTTCGCAACCCTACATGGTTCCTTTTAGTGGGAGATAATGTAATTTTTTTTAATTTTTCTTCGAAGTGAGAAACGTTGCAGGCTTAGGTCGCCAAAAGATGAGCAGCTCTCTCAGACCTACTCCAGAACTATATCTTGTGCTTGGGGCTCATTCAGACTTACTCAAATTTCCTTCCAACAGACTCACCTGGACTCACACTCAATAAAATTTTTCTCAGCCAAGAATCACTCGGTCTCAGGTTCATCAAAACATACCAAATCGGTTCAGCTCTGAATTGTGGCCCCATTCGTGTCCGAGTAAATTGACCCATGAGTGACTTTGCTCAACTGAGGTGGCACGGTGCATAGCTACTATGAAGGAGAGTGTTGAATGACAAACTAGGTAAAAAAAATTATTTTGAATGAGGTTATTACAGCAGTGTGGGAAGCCAGACTACAGATTTTAATGAACAGTCACACAGTACTGAGAAACGTTGCAGGCTTAGGTCGCCAAAAGATGTGCAGCTCTCTCAGACCTACTCCAGAACTATATCTTGTGCTTGGGGCTCATTCAGACTTACCCAAATTTCCTTCCAACAGACCCACCTGGACTCACACTCAATAAAATTTTTCTCAGCCAAGAATCACTCGGTCTCAGGTTCATCAAAACATACCAAATCGGATCAGCTCTGAATTGTGGCCCCATTCGTGTCCGAGTAAATTGACCCATGAGTGACTTTGCTCAACTGAGGTGGCACGGTGCATAGCTACTATGAAGGAGAGTGTTGAATGACAAACTAGGTAAAAAAAATTATTTTGAATGAAGTTATTACAGCAGTGTGGGAAGCCAGCCTACAGATTTTAATGAACAGTCACACAGTACTGAGAAGGAGCAAGTACATTTTTGTGCAAGTCGTCTACGTCTTTGCCCCTCCATATTGTGGAGAAATAATCATATTACACTTGTATGACAGCCAGTCAAACACCATGTCATGGTTCAACTTGTCCAACTGCATTGCAGACAATCTACTTAAGGGGGTATGGTAGGGCAAATGCTATATAACCGTTTTTACGTAATGTTTTAGAAACTGCTCCTCATAAAATTGCACGTGCTCACAAAGAAGGCCACCAGTTATTGGGTGAAATTCTTTTTCTTATGCCTAGATTGCCCATCCTTCTGATGACCCACTCCGATATTTTGAAGTGAGCTCACCTATTAAATGTACCTTTTCTCCGCAACCTCCAAAAGGAATGTAATTATTAATTATACTCGGCTGTGTTATTTTAGAGACTCGTATATTATACAACTAAAATATTAGGGTATCCTTCACGCAGTTTTTGTCAAAAAATAAGTGAATAAATAAAAGTAATCAGTTCCCAACACCACAGAGGGTGCGTATTACTGTGTGATGTTTTTTACAGTTTGTCTTCTGTGGAAATCAGCATCTTTTTTAATTCAGATTGTTCCCAACTTGTAGCGCATGCATGCAAAGTTTCATCAAATTCCCTTTAATACTTCTTTAGAAAGGTACATGGAAGTTTAAAAATTTATAAATAATGCAATTTGAGTAAGACGAAGTTTTGTGTGCGCATTCTGCTTGATCCAGAGGGCGCGCCACGCACTTTGGCACGAAATTTAAACCGCCTGGAGCGGCCACTCGATGTCAGGCTTCCACGGGTTTGTTCATCAGTGTGCAGTAAATTTCTCGAGGTCAATATTGCAAATTCAATTTTCTGCGGGGCTTCCCTCACCACACCACCTTAAGGGACTCAATGTACTGTTCGGATTGAAAGTCCAGTCGCAGCATGCAAGCCATTAAGAACAAGTCCATGGAAGGTCAGAAAGAAGATGTGGTGGTGCCAAAATATCAAGAAGGACTCAGACCCTTTGATGATAAAAGTAGCTTGATTACAATGGAGCTTGAAAACAAAGTGGCTGAAACAGGGTATCTGTCTTACAGGAAGCAAAAATGCTATTTATCGACTATGCAAGTTAGCGATAGCTTGAAGAAGGCACTCAATACACCACTCACAGAGCAGCAGTAAAGAACAATTATGTACGTCTATTTGAATCAAATGATGACAATAATGTTGTGGTGTCCACAGTGTTATGTCTAAAGAGTAAAATGTAGCCTTGATATGTAAAATAGTACCAAGTCATGCTTAAAATATGAGGAAAGATTATGCTGCCACGATTAGTAAGTACGTAAGGCAAAATATTGATCTTGCAGAGTGTGCAAATGTTCTGGAAACACTACATTTAGTGATTGTACATCACTTCAAAAAGGTGTCTTGTGAGAATCAATTCCCTAACCTTATTGAGCACCTGACAAGTCAGTGAGAAGAAACACCAGTTCATACGAACCTCACAATATCACCTCTCGGCATTTACTTATACAATAACTACAAGAAAGAGAAGTTGGCTTTATCACAAGATTACTAGACGCTCTTGTTCATCTATGATAAGTGCCTCGGTTCTCTAAAAGGAACATCTCACAGACATAAATCCCACATCTATGATTTTTTTTATCTACATAGTCCGACATTATCCATGATATACAATGAATTGTGAACATGGTGTAGGCTGTCTTTATTTTTAACGAGCCTGCATACTAACGATGAGCATTGTACCTTAACGTGACTTGCATAAGCGTGCCCAAGGTTACCCTTCCGGGGAGAGGCAAAGGTTCGTCACAGCACCCCTCTGCCAATTATGTCAATGTAGACGACTGACTTTGCCCCCTCCCTTTTAGGTGACTAGGGGGGGCCGCCGCCCTCCCTGCTCCTCGTGCCCACGCCTGTGGTGACTTGTAGTGCAGTAAATAAAACCACTCATACATTAATGTGTTAATGACAATGCATCCATCTATAATTAAGTCAAGTACCCAACTCCTGCTTTGAAAGCCTGGTGCAAAGGGGCCTAATAGGCGCGACAACTAGTACAAGTTTTTTCTCCCAGCTCAACGGAAACCATTGAAGACATGCAGTTAACACTCAAATACTCAGTGTGATTTACTTCTTTAGCCTGCTAAGCCTGACCACTGTCGGTTACACTTCAACTTACTTAGATGCTTAAGTTCCTCTTTGTCTCTGCATAGCACCTACCTTCGACTAAACAGTCACATTCTGACAGCTCGCCATGAAAACAACAAGGCTGAAGAGGGTTGGGGTGACTATGTACATTGACAATGTGGCCGAGAATCGACAGCCACCTAGCCAAGAACAATTCTTCATTAACATTGCTATTTCTAGCACACTAATAAAATAACTTTGAAGTGTGACAGTTTGGGCTAGTTGGTATGACGTGACGATAGTTGTAGCACGAGAACAGAACGATGACTCTCGTGTCCTTCTTGTCTCTTTGTCGTTCTGTTGTCGCACTATAACTATCGACACTAATAAAGATGGCGAATGATGATTTTTGGCCTCCCAAGCGCAGATTCATGCTGCGCAGTTCTCCTCAAGGCAATAATCTTTTTTTTTCAAGCCCATGAGAAATATTGATTGATTTGTGGGGTTTAACATCCCAAAACCACTATTTGATTATGAGAGACGCCGTAGTGGAGGGCTCCAGAAATTTTGACCACCTGGTGTTCTTTAACGTGCACCCAAATCTGAGTACACGGGCCGACAACATTTCCGCCTCCATCGGAAATGCAGCCGCCACAGCCGGGATTTGATCCCGCGACCTGCGGGTCAGCAGCCGAGTACCTTAGCCACTAGACCACCGTGGCGGGGCAAGCCCATGAGAAATAAGTAGGGCTCCATATTTACGGAGTTTATTTTCCTTGAAATTCAGTTGATGTTTTTCGGAGTTCATTTTTTGGTAAAATATTTGGCCTTTTTCACAGTTTATTT